TAATCCACTCTACAACCCTCATTGCATACTCCTACGATAAAAATAATGCCCTAAAATATAATACTTTTAGACTATTCTCTCCCCATTCACTTTTAAGCGTCAAAAGGGCACTCATAATAACAATGCCAGTTTCCGGCGTAAACCTAGCCATTTACCCTAATTTATAATAATCTGAGAGGTCAGGAACAGGGTTAGCTGGGATCAAGCCCCTCTGTATCCCAGTTCGTAAAAAGCATGGCGCCAAACACAGTAAATGTTGAATGAACGAACAGAACCATGGGGGAACATAGTTTCTTTGAGTGAAGAAGCAAAGAATGAAATGACTACTCCCACCGCGCCCCCTCTCCACCCCCGGCCCAACGCATCCGGTGTCCTCTCTATAAAGTCCTTAATTTACAGCCCGCCTCTCGCCCCCGGTTGCCTTAGAAACAGTGACGTCAACGTGGGGCGTGGCCTCTCCATCCTCTCCTGGACCCCCGGGCCCCTTCCCGATCCTGGTGAGGATGTGGTTGGGGATGATGGGTCTTGCTGCCCATCACTGGGCTAGGAGCTGTCGACGCCTTTGGCCATCCCTTGGGGCCGCACAGCGCCAGCATGACTCAAACTCCGTACTAGTGAACTGGCAGGGTGCTGTACCTGTGTCCCTTCCCACCCCTCATCCCCGTCGGACCAGCGGGACCCCAGGGCTCAGCCCAGCCGGCTTTTCCGCCGCAGCCCTAGGGCTTGCTCCGCTTCTAGAGGGGCTGGCACGAAGGGGGACCGCGAGGGAGCGCAGCAGGGAAGGAGTTAAACAAGGTGCCGGCGCTGGGCGCGGCGAGGGGGGGAGGGGAGAGAAAGTGAGAGCGGGGGCGCGGAGAAGGGGGCGGGAGTCGGAGAACTTCCTGTGCCCGCCGCCGGATGCGCGGGGAGGAGGCAGTCCTGGAGGGCGGCAGGACCCCAAGGCTCCGGGCTGGGAGAGGCGCGGCCGGGCCACCCCACCTCCCACCCCCAAATCCTCCGCTAGGGGCGCCGTTCCCCGCGCAGCCGGGACTGTCACTCCTTCCCTCCCTGTCCTCACGCTTGCTACCACGAGGTCACCGAATCTGGTTTCTGACCTCGAGCAAGCGCTCACCGGTGGTGTGGGGAGATTTCGGAGTGTGTGGGATTCACGTCTGGGCCTGGAGGTTCCCAGCCCTGCGGCTATCTGCTGACCTTCGTATCACGAGCTTGCCCTATGCCTTGAGAGTCATCACAACACAAATTCTCATTCAGCCCCAATAGCATACATAGAATGTATGAAATTAGTTGCCTTTGTGTTGATTCCCATTCTTGGCAACTCCCTGCGTGTCAGAAAAGACCTATGCTCTGCCGGGAGTTCAGTTGAGCAGTAGATAGCCAGGCCTTTCTCTTGAGACACCTCTAGTGGAATAACCTCCAACCTTTTGGTGAGCAGCCAAGTAGGTTAATGGTTTGTATCACTCAGAGATTTTTCAGATCTCTATTCCAGATGAGGAAACTGAAACTCGGGTTATGGAATTTTCCCAAATTCCACAGGCTTTTCATTAGAACCTTTTGGTGGTGCTGGCCGTACAATCGATCCTGGCTCCTGGTGACAGTGCACATACTTGAACTGCTCCATAGAAGTGACCTTTCAGAAGCAGATTGCCACGCCCTGCCCTCCAAGGTGCCTTTGGGTGAATTTGAACCATCAACCTTTTGACTAGTGATAAACCAGCTGAACTATCCAGGATCTCTTAAAAATAAAGAGTGGATTATGTTTTCCCTTGCTTCTCTTATTTCCAAAGGTGTTGGGCCCCTCCAGGAACATCCTTGGTAATGACGTGGTGTGGTGGCTTGCATCCTACAAGCATATGGAACTTCTCTCATTGACAAGCCTAAAACACATATTCCCAAGGTTTCTGTAAAGAGAATGAAGAGGTGGCTATAGGATTTTATTGAGATGGTATGTAGGGGTGGCAGGGAGGATGAATTTTAAGGACGAAGTGACTTACTGGAAATAGAACAGGAAGCACTTTGGAGGGTTTTCAGAGAGTTCCTCAAGTTACATAAGGAAGTCACCTGGGTTACAGGAGTTGGGATTAACGAATCACAACTCCATGAGATAGGTATTATTACTGTGCTCCTTTTACAGATTGGAAAATTAAGGCACACAGATGACATAGCTAAAATCAGTCATTGAACTGATTTTTAACCCTAGCAGTACAACTAGAGCTCACACTGTTAACGAAGTTGAACTGCCTTTAACATAATGAGAACATCATCTTTGAGGGTGAAAAGCTGACACAAATGGCAGAGTGATTAGGGCAGCCCATGTCCTTTTGGTAGTGAGAAAAAATAGACCATATTTCTAGTACATGTGTGGGCTCTCAGATTTCTCTCCAGCCAGTGGTTCCAGATTTTTGGATTTGACAAATGAAAAACAAGAAAGTAAACAGAACCCACAGTCTCCATAGAGTTGCCAGCTTTTTATTTAGAGGCAGCCCTGGTGGTGTAATGGCTAAGCCCTCTGCTACTAACAGAAAGGTCAGTGGGAGAAAGACCTGGCGATCTCCCATGAAGCCTAGGGAACCCTGTAAAGCAGTACTACTCTGCCTTGTAGGGTTCCTGTGGAGTTGGAATTGACTCAAAGGCAAATAATAGCAGAGATCATGCAAAACACAAAACCATTCTTTCATAAAAGAAAGGACATTTTAATCTTTCTCAAAATACGAAAGATACTATCTCTAAATCAAGAACAAACAGCCATTCCCAAGAAAAGACAGTCATCAACTTCACACCAATAAATAGACTTTCCGGTGCCTTTATGTTTCTATTGTGTTGCAGGCTGGTGAAAATGTCACCCTGGGGATGACTCTGCTTCTTACCCCTCTGAATCATCTGTGAGCTGACCAGAAGGGCATTACGTTAGAACAGAGAAAGAACCTTTCTTCCTTGGAAATCTTTATAAAGCAGGTGAGCAGTGTTTACCTGGGATATGAAGGTTGTAAAGCCCAATTCAAGGGATGGAGGGGAACGGTTACTCTGGGTTTTTTTTCTCTCCCACCATCCCCACCCTAAGAAAGGGCAAGGACCTTGATTTGAAAGACTTCTCAAATTCCCCAGGGTCCTCCTAAAACCTAAAATGACAGTCCCCATCAGGCAACTGTTGCCTGCGCCCCCACCCCCAAATTCATGGGATGTCCTAGGTGGTCCTAGGGGGCCCACCTTGGATCTCTTAATCACCCCTATTGGAGGGAATACATGTAGTCACCCACATTGGGTCTGGATAGATTGCCAGGAGCGACTCTGGGGATGATTGAGGATGGAACAGAGGAAGAGAAGAGAATTACCATGTAGGAGTGCTGTCTGGCTTCTGTCAATAGTGTGGAGTGCGAGGCCAAAGCAGAGTATGAACAGGCCTAACTGCTGGCTGTAGCATTCTTTCAGGCAGGCATCTCCCTGCTTTCCGCACAGCCCCCAATCCAAAATGCAGGACAAGGCCTTCTATCCCAGCTCTTCCAGGTGGAGTTCTGGTCAGGCAGGAGAAACCCTGTTTTGGTGCAGCTCTGCTCAGCACCAGCTTTGTGTTTGACCCTAATTTGAGACTTGTCACCTCCTTATTATATCCCAGAGATTGATGAGTTTGGAGGGTGTGAAGAGACTCCATGGGAACAAGGTGTGTAAGACTTCACCTGCTTCATCTTAGGAGTGGAGAGCAAGTCCCCCAAAGGTGGCTCACCCTCAGGGGTAGTGTCGTCTGACCTTCAGGGAAGGCCTTAAGTTTTGTCCACATGGTGGGGTTTAGGGAGGCTAGAAGGTGATACTTGCATATTTAGGCTTCTGGTTTAAAGGGCCAGACACACCTAAATGTTAATCCTGGAATATTTATGTAGTAAGTCTGGGTCCCTCAGGATGCAAATAGAGAAACAGATCCCTTTCTCCTCCAGGGTCCCTCTGGTTAAATGAACTTGAGGATCCAGTGTGCAGTCCCTGGCTGTCTCTTCACAGAATAGTGGAAACTGACTTGAGCTCCTGCGAAGTGCAGATTCTACTCTTGGTGCTGGAGATACAAAGAGAACTGCCCTCAAGAACTTATGTTCTGAGACAGGTAAATATAAACTACAAGGGAACAGACAAGGGTTAGAAAAGACAAATTTCCTAGGGAGTTTGCAGAACTTTGTAAGATGCTCCCCTCCTTTGTATCCTTGAATAGGAGAGCCTTCCTGCAGAAACATTCCTAGCCAGAGGTGGGTCTTTGTAGAGACATCAAAGATGGGAGAATCAGGAACCTGAGGTGCCAGGGCTGCTAGTGGACACCCCACAAACACCCCACTTGGAGATGCTAAAAGGTTCCAGCCCAGAAACAGGCCTCTACTGCCCTCTAATGGAAGAAAAAGCATCTTCTAAAGCCACCGCTGAGACCCCATCTACTTAACCTTCCTGTCCCAGCCTTTTCATTTCCCAGATGCCTCAAACTTTGTTTCCTAGAGCTTCTGCAGCTTACTTCTTTCCAGTGTCCAGTTGTCACCTTCCTCTGAGCCCCTCCACCCTCCACCCCACAGACTCCCCAGTTCCCTTTGTTGCCCAGGTTCTGATTCTGGCACCCATAAAGTTCTGATTCCAGAAGGCCTCTTTCCAGCTGCCTTGGATCCAGCTCATGCCCTCAAAGTGGCACTGAAGACATGGGCATGATAATCCCCGAGTGCTTTAGGCAGCTAGACATCTGCAAAAGTGTTGTGGGCCTGGCCACAGGTGCCGGGGCCCTTTACCTAATCTACAAGGTCATCAAGGCCGGTATAACATGCCAGCCACCCCTTTGCTCTGGCTCACCTGTCTGCATTGCTCGTGAGTATCCAGTCCCTGGGGAGTGGGTTCTGTCTGCCTGAGGCCTCCTCAGTGGGAGAGTCCAAAGATGACTCCTCAGAGTTCCTATCTCCTTCCTGTTGCTTCCCCCCCATCTTCCTCAAACTCTTCCTGCAGCCTTCTAGGTAAGGCCCTGTTGTTGTGTGCTCTTGAGTTGGAACTGACACATCACTGACTCTCCAGAGGGTATTCAGAGGCAGTAAATCATATGGGAGGAGATTACCCATCCTTCTTCTTCAGAGCAGCTGGTGGAATTGAACCTTGTGTCTTTGGACTGCAGTGAAGCTTCTTACCACTAATCACCAGAGATGCTAATTCAGAGTCCCAGGTGGAGTTGAGTGAATCTTCTTCAGCTACATTTGGCAGATCACCAAATGCTATTTTCACTCTGGTTCCCAGGACTCCACTGCTTAGAAATTTGGCATCAACCTCTTTCCCCCTTCCCTAACTAAGAACAAGAGACTTTAAGGAAAGAGAAAATTGATAGACCTTTATGCCTAGATTTTCCACTAAATGTTATGGTAACTGTGTGAAGTAGAAGGCAGTCGCTTCTGTAACACTCTTTACTGCCATCTGCTGGAATTTTATTGCTAATATAGTAATTACCACAGAAGGCTATGCGTTACTTACTACCACATAGAAATTGTCATGACAAATATATGTGTTTTGGAGGACTGCTGTGTGACAAGGAGATTGAAAGAGGTCCATATTTGTTCCTATTCCCAAGAAGGGTGATCCAACTAAATGTGGAAATTATGAACAATATCACTGAAATCACATGCAAGCAAAATATTGCTGAAGATCATTCATAACGATGGGAGCAGTACATAGATAGGGAATTGCCAGAAGTTCAAGCAGGATTTAGAATATTATTACTGATGTCAGATGGATCCTGGCTGAAAGTAAGGAATACCAGAAGAATGTCTGTCTGTGCTTTATTGACCATGCAAAGGCATTTGACTCTGTGGATCATGACAAGTTGTGGCTGACATTAAGAAGAATGGGAATCCCAGAGCACTTGATAGTGCTCATGAGGAACATATACCTGGACCAGGAGGCTGTTGTGCGAACAGAGAAGGGGAGCACTGCATAGTTTGGAATTGGGAAGGGAGTGTGTCAGGGTTGTATTCTATCTCCATACCTGTTCAATCTATATTCTGAGCAAATTATCTGAGAAGCTGGACTCTGTGAAGAGGAAAGTGGCATCAGGATTGGAGGGAGACTCACCAGTAATCTGCATTATGCAGATGACACAACCTTACTTGCTAAAAATGAGGAGAACTTGAAGCACTTGTTACAGAAGATCAGGGAATACAGCCTTCAGTATCGATTGCATCACAGTATCAAGAAACAAAGATTCTTACCACTGGATTAATAGACAATGCCATGATGGATGGAGAGGAGGTTGAAACTGTCAACAGCTTCCTCTTGCTTGGATCCACGATTAACACCCGTGGTACGAGCAGTCAGGAAATAAGGAGATGCATTGCAATGGGAAAATACGCAATTAGGGACCTTTCCAAATAATTGAGGAGTAGTGAAGTCAGTTTGAGGACTAAGGTGCATCTGATTCAGGACATAGTCTTTCCATTTATTAGCTATTCATCCGAGACCTGGACAATGAATAGGATGACAGAAAATGAACTGACGCCTTTGAGCTGTGGTGTTGGAGAAAGGCACTGAACACCCCATGCATAACCAAGAAAACAAAAAGATGTGTCTTGGAGAAGGTGCCAGAGTGATCTTTGGACCCAAGAATGATGAGGCTTCTCCTCACATACTTTGGACATGTTGCTAGGAGGACATGTTCCTTGGGAACATGTTGGGAAGGGTGGAGAGGCAGCGAAGGAGAGGAAGACCCTCAACCAGGTAGATTGGCACAGTGACTGCTGCAATGGGCTCTTGTGTGTCAGGAAGTGAGGATGGCTCAGGACAGGACTGGGTTCAGATCTTTTGTTCATAGAGTCTCTATGAGTCGTACTCAACTTGATGGCACCTGACAACAACAACAACAACAACAACAACAACAACAACAACAACATATTTATTATATATAATGCACTTGTGCAGTTCACTCCCTGTTCAACTGTAGATGGTGGTCTTGCACTTAGCAAAAAGTTTCTCTTCAGAAAAGGTAAACTGGTGTTTTCCACAGTCCCTCTCCCCACCTCCCCAACTCCATTCTTTAACCACCTTTGAGTTCATACCTAGCCTAAATTGGGTCGGGTTGCTGTCTAGGCTTGGCAATTGAGCGAGAGCGGTATGGACGGGATTCCGGTGAGCTTCGGAGACTCTTCAACTCTTTGGAGTGCAAACAGGATGAGTATGCCAAGGCAATGATCCTGCACAGTATCACGCGGTGTGTGTACTTACTGGAGGCTGAGGTGAGGGAAGGGAGTTGGGATGACCCTCCCTGCCAGATTGCACTGCCCCCTGATGGGTTTTGGTTCTTGAACCTATTTCTCTGATAATGGGAGGAGTGTGCTGAAGGATTTTGGTCACAGGAGGGATAGTGGGCCCAGGACATCCACTTCTCCTGCCTGTTGCATCTCTCCCCTTACACTCTAGGCCTCTGCTTGTACTCCGGATGACATCAGGGTGGTGGGCAACATGTTGGATGACAACGACAACAACGTCAAAATCCAAGCCATGAACACTCTTAAAGCTTTCTCTGGCATCAGAAAATTCAGACTCAAAATCCAGGTGAGCCCAGGGAGATGTGGCAGGGAAGAGCACACAGCATGTCTATCATTTGTGAGTCTGTTAATTGGCAGGGAACAAGTGGATTGTTTTCTAGAAGTTTAGTTTTGGGTATATAGCCCAGAAATCCATTTCCTCCTCCTTGGGAATAAGTGGGAAAGTGATGGTCAGATTTCCTATTTCCCAAAAGGGTCATAAAATCCCTTGACTCTTAGGATGTAACAGAACTATGTCTGAATCCCATGCAACCCCTAAGGCCTGCGTGAATCAGTGGCTGTGATTTGACTGGACCACAGATGCCTCCACCACACAGAAACTATAAGGCACAAAATGTCAATATTCCCAATTTCCTACTGTCTAGACTTTAGACAAACTTGTTTCCACAAGAGCTTTCCTCCCTCCCCACCCCAACCCACCATTTTCTGCAGTTGTTAAGTCGCTAGGATATAAATGATTGTTTATGAACAAACTTGACTGCTAACTGAAAGTTGGAGGTTTCAGTATACCCAGTGGTGCCTGAAGAAAGTCCTGGTGATGATCTACTTCTAAAAAACAAGACTTTGGAAAACCTCTGACAGTTACATTCTTTTGCACCTGGGGTCATCAGAAGTTGGAATCAACTTGATGGCAGGATTTTTTTAATGTCCGTATTGATGGTTTCAGTCATCTGGGAGCCTCTCTTATTGATTATTGTATCTGAGATGGCCTCCCCTGGATCTTTTCAATGTGCATTTAGCTGGTGGCATAGCCCACAGGGACTTTTACTGCTCACCCAAAGGCTGCCTTCCTCCACGTGGTCATTGGAATCCACCAACTGCTTCAAGGGAGAAAGATGCCAATCTCCTCCCATCTGATTTACAGCCTCAGATTCCTGAGGGGTGGTTGCTATGAGGTGGAACCCATTTGACAGCAGTGGGTTTGGTACTTGGGTTTGATCCCAGAGGAGCCCTGGTGGCAGTAGGTAAGCACTTGTTGGCTAAATGGAAGATCAGTTATTCAAACCCACCAGTCATTTTATGGGAGAAAGAGAAGGCACTTTGTTTTCTTGGAGATTTACAGCCTTGGAAAGCCTACAGGGCAATTCTACTCTGTTCTATAGGTTGTTAGAAATGAGAATCAAGTCAATACAATGGGTTTGGGTTTCCATCTTTTAATCTTTCCCATCTTAAAAAGCAAGACCAAACCAAACCAAATGGAAAAATCTCTTCTTTGACTCCATGCCAAGAAAGTGGTCTGTCTTTCCCAAGTTAAGAAGAAATTATTTAAAACATAACAAACATGTGTAATATGTGCAAGGTAAAAAAAGTAACAACAAAGCTTGCATACCCACAGCTCAGGCTAAAAAATTGGAAATTACCCTTAAATTCAATGGCTACAAATTGCCGTTCCCAGTCCCAACCTCCACTTTCCTTTCTCTCCTGACCCCATCTGCAGTTCATTGACCAATTCCTGGATTTTGTTTATAGTTTTATCATTTATGTGTGCATCTCTGTATAGTCTAACAGAGTGAGACAGGTGAGAACCCAAGTAAAACACAGTTCTGGATGTTGTCAAACTTCATCTGTATGGAACCATGTCATTTTTCCTCTTCTGTGGTTTGTCATATCCTTCGTAATACAGAAATATTTGTCTTTATTGATGTAGCAGTTCTATTGTTAGTTGGTGTTGAGTCAGTTCTGACTCAAGACGACTCAACATGTGTAGAGTAGAACTGTGTTTCATAGTGTTTTCAAGGCTGTGGCCCTTTTGAAACACACCTCTAGGTCTCTCTTCTATGGTGCCTCTGTGTGGATTTGAATTGCCTTTTTTTCCCTTGTAGTTGAGCATTTAACTTCTAGTTCTTTCTTTTTTTCTTTTGTGTAGTTGTTGTTGATAGGTTCCATCAAGTGCAGTATGACCCATAGTGACCCTGTGAACAACAGATCTGAACCCTGTCTTATCCTGTGCCATTTTCACAATCTCTGACTCACTAAAGCTCATTGCTACAGTCACTGTATCAATCCACTTGGTTGAGGATCTTCCTCTTCTTCACTGTCTCTCCACCTTTCCAAGGATGATGTCCCTCTGCAAGGCATAGCCTCTCTTAGCAACATGCTTAAAGTATGTGAGACAAATCTTTATCATCTTTGCCTCCAAGGAGCACTCTGGCTGTACTCTCTCCAAGACATGTTTGTTGTTTTTGCAGTCTGTGGGATAGTCAGCACTCTTCTCCAACACCACAGCTCAAAGGTGTCAATTCTTTTTTTTGTCATCCTTATTCATTGTCCAGCTTTCAGGTGCATAACAAGTAACTGAAAAGGCCATGACCTAAATCAAGCATAATTTAGTCCTCAGACTGACATCAGTGCTCCTCAATAATTTGGAGAGTCTCTGACTATAAATATTGCCATTGCAAAATATCTCTTGATCTCCTTACTCCTGGTACCAAGTGTATTGCTTGTGGATCCAAGTAAGATGAAATCACTTTCCCATCTGTCATGATGTTTTGCAAGAGTGTCATCTACTTCCTAAATAACAGGCCTCTGGAAACTATGAACTTTGAGAAATGACGATACTTGTAGAAAGGCTTCAGGTCTTTTGTTCATTGGGTCACTATGAGTCGTGCTTGACTCGATGGCAATCAAAAACAACAACAATATCATGATGTTGTCTCTTGGTCAAGTGTTGAGGATTTTTGTTTTCTTGAGATTGAAATGCCATCTGTATTGAAGGCTGCAGTGTTTAACCTTCTACAGCCAAGTGCTTCTCAGAGTCTCTAGTTTGAGTCAATCCTTCAACCTCTAGATTAGCAAATGATTTATGTTAATGGTTTGTACCACCTAAGGACATGCAAAATAGGGAGAGGCAAATTAAGACTCTGTTAGAAAGTTTCATTCCCTCTCAGCAGCATTGAGTTTTGAACTATTCCAAGAGTTGAGTTTCTAGAAAGTGCAAATGGTTAAGGATTCAATTACTCACTACTGAAAGGTTGGAACACAAAAGCCTCTCAGAAGACAGTCCTAGTGTTATGTTTCAGAAAGGTCAAAACTTTGAAAACACTATGAAGCACAGTACTGTTTGCACACATGAATAGGAAGTGTCTCAACAAATAATAACAACGATTCAAAGAAAAAAACCCCCACACCAAAACCCAAAACTCATTACTCTTGTATCAGAACTGACTCATAGCTGACACTCCAGCAGGTTTTCAGAGACTTTAAATTACACAGGAGGGGAATGCCCATTTTTTTGTCCATGGCACAGCTGCTGGATTCGAACTGCTTGAGAGGTATGGTCTTTCAGCTAGCAATGCTGCTCTCTACAGACTATGCCACTTGAGGTCCCTATCAACAAAAGTTAATGTGGTTAAATTGAAAATGCTTGAGAACAGAAGGAATTTAGAAGTGTCTCCTTCTCCCTCACTAGCCTGAGCAAGGGTGGCATTTCTAAGTGAAATATGGAAGGTGTGTTGTGGACGAGCATCCGGGCTGCTTTCACGGTGTGGGGAACATTCCTGGGTTATGACTGAAAGGCCCCCGCAGCGTGGCGTTCCCAGCCTGCTCCAGCAGCTAATGTGCAATATGGGCCCGTGAAACCCAAACAGGGGTGACTGTGGGAGCGTTGTCCCCACTGATGACAGTATCAGTTAAGGAAAACCACATACGTACACTTTTTGGAGAAGACCGAGGCAGGGGGCACACTTTATTACTAGCAATG